GGGGCGGCTTGTTTTACAACGTCGTTGCCAAGCGACGAAAACCCAACCCCGATGGTAAACACCGGGGAGAAAGACATATAACCACGTGCTAGAGACGGGCATACGATGGGAAACCAAGGCTTGTTCTTGCTGTCATGTTCTGTTGACGCAAGCAGTCAAAAAAAGACCTAAGCGCAGACTATGGCCCAGCAGCAACGACAAAAAACACGAGAGCACCAAAAGCAGTTACACCTGTGCGCTTAACAATCGCCACGCACGCTACGCCTACCTCGGCCGGGGTGAGCGAGACGTAGTCCTCGAATCTCAATATCTCGTGATGCAAGTCGGATTGTCCGCTCGCTTCACCACCTCCCTCCGCACCCCCGTCCCTCGTCGCGCCTTCTGGACTCTTCACGGAACTCCCGTGCGAGCTACCAGCCCCATGGATGTCCACGTTACTACCATCACGGCCACGGGATTGGAGAGCGCCGCCATCCGAGGCCCCGCGCAACAGCCCGGCCTCGCCCTCTTCGCTGCCAACGAGACCCACGCGCCCGGCGTCCCTGCCACCACGGCCGCGCGGTCCTGCGGCTCCACCGGGAAAGCGATCGACCAAGCCAACCATCCAGGGGGCTACCCAGCGTGTTTCTGCGTCCCTGGCTCGAGCGTCGCTCGTTACACCGGTGCTTCCACTACCGCCAGGCCGAGCAGTCGCTGCCGCTGCCGAAGGGAAAGGTCCCGCTCTGCCAGGCCGGGGCATCGACCGCCTGGGCGCGGGGGCGTTGAACACCTCCGGCCAGCGACCGCCGCCGTTCGCCGCGCCCCGCCAGCATCCCCCTGCGCCTCCCAGGACCCGAGAGTCCCCCGCCTCTCCCCCTCCCCCGCCTCCCGCCGACAACAAACTCCTCCCGAACGTACCGCCTTGCATACTACCACCGCCGTCGCTTTGCTCGTAGTAGCCGGCCCCCGCCGGGCACGGGCCGTACTGCTGTTCGCCGTCTCCCGGCAGACCCGCCTCCTCGCGAGCTCGCTTCTTGCGCCACTGCCCCAGCTTCACCTCCACGTCGTGATGGACGGCCTCGCGCCGCTCCGCCCGGCGCGCGCCGCTGGCGTTGCCGGGGCTGGCTCGGGGGGGAGCGGGGCCGACATAATCAGAGCCGTCTTCGAAGGACGAAGGGGCAGAGAGGGCTGTCGCGCCACCGGCTCTCTCCTCTTCCGCGGCGGCAGCAGCAGCAGCCGTGCTTTCACGCTGAATCCTTTTCTGCATGGCCAGCTTCGCCTTGCGCAACAGGCGGGATTTCTCCGCCGCCTCGGCACGGACGCGCTGCGTGAGATCGACAATCGTGTCATAAAGGTCGAACTTTTTTGTTACGGCGCGGGATCATTCCCGTACCCGGGATAACGATAGCGCGTGTGGGATCGGATGGTACAACGCATGTTTAAGATACTGCGGAGCTCACCGGGTACGGTCGTGCTCAGCTAGAGCCCCCCCCCCGCCCCGGCGCCGCCTCCCAAACGACTACAAGTCGCGTAACGGAGAGGTGACCGATTGGGACACGATGACTTCCAACCCGAGTAAGCTTCCCCTCACCCCCAAGCCGGCTAGGTTTTGTAATCCAATATCACGAATAACTCCAAATCACTTCGTTCTTCAGCTGCCATTGATCTTTAGCGGGCGTATGATCTAGGGTATCACTACGCTGCTTGCTGTTACGTCGCGTGCTTTTCCATCTCTTCCTCCACGCCCGCAGCATTTGGATGGACACTCTGTTCCCAGCTTTACGCTTCATTCCCGTTGCTGCCGAGATGTGCACCCACACGCTTCGACCTCGACCCCAACAAGCCGCGAGATCGAAACAAAAACAGCTTCACCATCACCCACCTGCTTGATCGACTGCTTGTTGGTCTTGGCCGGCTTCTTCTTGTTCGGCTGCTTCTTTTTCTTCTTCTGGCTAAAGCCCACAACGGCGGCCTGTCCACCACCTCCCCCCCCGGGCGCGGCTTTTTCCGTCTTACCCGGTGCCTTTTTCGTGCTAGCCATCATCCTCCCCTTGCCTCTTTCTAAGAATTCCGCAGGAATCACCAGGGATGAAACACCTGCTGGCGGACGCATGTGGTCAGTGGTGTCGCGGTGATATGGGCTATAGTGGCCTTCGTAAGGGTTTTCTACTAAGCAGGCATGTTGCGGGTGAAGGACAACGTTGCACAGATCTCTCAAGATAAAGAGACGGACAAAAAAAAACGGAGTAAGACCGAGGCGCAACTTTCCTGCAACGCTTCATCTTCCGGGATAATCGATCTTTGATCCGGTGTCTGTCGCCGATGTCTCGCAGTAAATGCAAAAACTTTCGATGCACCCATACAGACGCAAATCTTAGTTGCACCCAGGGAGCTCCGTGAGATAGAACACGGTATACCCAGCGGCTCCCGCGGCTCCGTGAGCTGCCATTTGAATTTTGGCCTCAACACCACATCACAACACAGCACCCGTACAGCCACAACCCTGCTCACACTTGTCCGGCACACACGAGGCCACCACACGGGCCCAAGAGATGAGTGCAGGCGTCAACGACCATGCGGTCCTCAGCGGTGACAGCATTGAGCGTGAGAGCGCACAACGTGTTGGCGTTGGAGCAAGCGGTCCGGCACAGCTCGGCCCACTACTCCCCTCCACTCCCGCCCTACCCTGCATCCGAGAAGGCCAAACGGCTCTCCCCTGCCTCCGAGAAGGCGAGCCCTCTCTCTTGAGCGAGGAAGTACTCGCACTAGACAACGCCCAGGGGTGCGATGAACCATGGGGTGACTGGGAGCAGCAGCAGCAGCTGCAGCAGCAGCTGAGGCAGGAGAGGTGCGAGAGTCAAGAGCAGCAACAGCNGCCAATTCACTTCGTGAACTCGGCAACCAGATTACCGATCTTTTCTTTTTACCTCCGGTTTTGTTTTTTTGGCGGTAATCATAATGGTGGTCGAGTAGATCATGTTGTGCGGGGTGGAGAACCCTCACTCCGCGCAAGGGGGATGATCGCACCACGTTGT